TTTTTAGGTATCACAGTGGTATCATAGTGGTATCACCGGAGGACGGTGGCCGGAGGACGGTGGCCAGAGAGAGAAGAGAGGAGAGAGGAGAGTTTTAAAATACCAAAAATATCCTTGCATTAAGATTTTAATTTAAAATTACCAAATATATAAATTTCCTAATTTATCTATTGATTTGTGGTTAATATTGGTTCTTACAGTTACCACAAACAACTCAGTTCTCCCTTGAATAGGCCCCTATATATATATATATATATGAACTAGAACATTCCTTATCTTGTTAACAAGTCTTTACTAAAATAACCTAATGGTATTCCTATATTCTTACAAAACCAGAACATATAACTAAAATTGAACCTGAGATGTGATTGGACATTATATTATAACATAATGGCAGCACGCGCTCGACACACGAACGGTAGAGATTCAATTTGCTTCACACTTGAAAACATTATCACAACATTCCACTCTCCTCCCACTACAAATATATATATATATATATATATACACACCATATATATAGTTATATATACACCATATATATATATATATATACACACACACACTACTATATAACAAGCACTGGTGTCAAGCACAACACAGAAAGTGCCAAATCTGAGAGAGAGAGAGAGAGAGAGAGAGAGAAAACAAGAACTAAAAAATGAGGCATGTAGAAGATGAAAGCATAAGAAAAGGGCCATGGACTGAACATGAAGATGTTCAGTTGGTTTTTTACGTGAACACCTTTGGCGATCGTCGATGGGATTTCATAGCAAAAGTTTCAGGTTTGAAGGTGGCGGGAGATACATACATATAGGTAGCTTTATAGCTACTTAGGGTCTTACCATTTTTCCACCTTCAAGGGGATGAATTATTAAGCCACAACATTTAAAATTCTACCAACCTTTTTAACTTTTCTTTCATGTGTTCTACCCCAATTCTATCTCTTTTGGGGGATTTTTTTTCGACGCTTATCAGGTTTAAATCGAACCGGAAAAAGTTGCAGACTCAGATGGGTCAATTATCTGCACCCTGGCTTGAAAAGAGGGAGGATGACTCCTCATGAAGAAAGGCTTGTTCTTGAATACCATTCTAAATGGGGAAATAGGTTTGATCATTTAATTATTCTTATTTTTCTTTATATATATATATGATCAAATAGTGATAATTACAGTATAAGTTTAGTGGTTTGTTCTCTTTATTCCTTTTTAATGGTAGCCCATGATTCAATTAAAGTTTATATGCTGATTCATTAGATTTCTATATGCTATCTTAAACTTTTGGGGTTAAATCATATATATGTTTTTAATCACAAATAATATATGCTTTTATTTGTAGCTTTTCATGTTTTTATTTTGTTTGTATATGATTTGAACATGAAATATGTATTAATTTGGTACCCTTTTTTTTTTATATAACATGGGAATCATGATAAAATTGCAGATGGTCAAGAATTGCAAGAAAGTTGCCTGGGCGCACCGATAACGAGATCAAGAATTATTGGAGGACCCATATGAGGAAAAAGGCGCAAGAAAGCAAAAGGGGGTCGTCTCCATCTTCATCCTTCTCCAACAGCTCTTCCTCCTCATCGTTTTGTACCAACGATCCCATCGTTGATTCGATGCCCATGACTGAAACTAAAGAAAGAAGCTTCTATGACACTGGAGGAATCGAAATGGTGCCAAATTCTAGACCCAAAAACAACACCACCTTAATGAAGTATGCTAAAGATGATAGTGAAGAACACGAAGGGATTTATTCGATGGATGAGATATGGAAAGACATCGATTTATTAGAAATTGATGATGGTATGAAACCGGTTTTTGATCCTTATAGTGAGATTATGCCTTCTCATATATGGGATTACTCTTCGATCAACAGTTTTTGGACCACGGATAGTGGTCAGGAAGAGTTCAGTACATATATGGCTTTCCCGGCAACAAGCGAGCGATTACTTGGCTGATTAGGTTATTTCGTTACTAATTAATTTGGTGTTCATAGACGCAATAAATTTCACTTAATTAGTATTCGTACATACGATGGGGTGGTGTTAAGCTATGTTAATGGTACGTGTTATATCAAAAAAGTAACTGTCGTAATTATCTTACATATAACCTTACTTGCTTATCAATAGTTATATCTATATTTTAGTAGTAATTGGTTGTCTACCCGTGCAATGCGGCCGGAGCCGTGAATTTTAACGATTTTGAAGTTTCATTGGTTTTATTAGAGAAGATTTAACGATGATATAAGTTACACTTGGTCTTTATATATTAATACAATTTGAATAAATAAGAGTTATGGTTCCAATTACAGTCTATCGATGGAAAAAATTGTATGACTATTTAAAATTCAACATATTTAAACAACTTCACAAATGTGTTCGAATTACACAAAGAGCAAAGAATCAAGAGATCGAGGGTGAGATCGAGAGTTCTAGAGCAATTGAATAAGAGATGAATAAGAGAACTTTTAAAGACTCATGGTGAATATCAGTTTGAATCTCACATTGGGGATGGTGGGAGAAAATATAGCGGTATGAGAGGGTGAAGACATGAGTGAAAGTTGTTAAAAGTATCTTGGGAACATGAAAAGATAATAATGTGCATTGGTAACTTGCACTATATGTTATTTTAATTGTAGATTAAGAGATTTTAAGATTGAATGTATAAAGTAGTAGTACTTGAACTAAGACTTTTAAGACTTTGTGTATTAAAAATTGTTTTTAAGACTTTTGATAAATCTGGTTTATAAGTTAGTATAGATGTATAACTTATTAGTTAAGAACCCAAAAAAATTAACTTGTATTACAGTTTAAAGATTGTCAAATCATAATCTTAATTCAAGAAGAATAGTTTTTGTTAAGGATGTAAATATAGATACATCACAAAGGTAAAAAATTTATGCACACATAGGGTTAGGTTCACGTAAGATTAATTCGTCTTTGTGAGACCATAAAAGGTAACACTGTGAAGCTACAAAAAATATCAAACCTTTGTAGCAAAACACTGTAAAGGTATACAAAACATCGAACCTTCACAGGAAAAAGACTGTGAAGGCACACAAAACGTCGAACCTTCTTCATAGTGTTTTGGTGTGAAAGTTTAATGTTATTTATGTAGTCTCACGGGTCTTACGAAAACATTCTGGTCTCACATGATCTCGAATATATCTATATATATATATATATACAAAATTTTTACATACACGTGTGTATACAAAATTTTTACATACATATGTGTGTATATAAAATACTTCAAGTTGAAAGAAAATTTATTTGATAAAAGGGTTATGTTAAATTTAAGACTTAGAACTGATAAAAAGGTTGACTTTTAACTTTAAGTTGAAAAAATATATTTGATAAAAGGGTTTACTTATTTATATATAGAGAGTGAGAGAGTTGGGTTCACGTGAGACCAAAGGTTTTTCATGAGATCCATAAGACCAATTTATGTTTATTGATCAACTTTATAAGCTAATGATCTAATAGTCTAAAGTTGCACGGTGGCAATTTTGTGATTATTGAGAAGTCTCATGGCGTTTATGAATATTCAGATCTGACGATTGTAAATCTAATCCAATGGTTGAGAATTGGTATTACGGGTCTCACATGATCCCAAGTATATATATATAGGTTGGTTATTATACAACCCTTGTCATTTGTGCAACCAATACAACTCAATCTCAACCGTCCATTTCATTTAATTAATATGTGATTTTATAGAGGTTTTGATTATTTCCTAATATAAAGTATTAATCATAATTAATAAACCGTATTCATATTTCATAAATATTTAAATCATAATAAATGAACTCTAATCATTTCCATAAATATTTTAATTTATTGGGTTGCATTAGTTGTACAAATGCGATAGGTTGTATTTGAAATAAACCCTATATATATATATATATATATATCAATTAATGAAAGAACTGACTAATTTGTGGTAACTGTAAGATTCAATCTCAACTACAAATCAATAGATAAATTATAAAATTTATAATTTTGAATTAAAATTTTAATGAAGGACATTTTAGGTTTTTTAAAACACTCATCTCTTCTCTCTCCGTCCTCCGTTCTTCGGCCTCCGGTGATACCTAATAATATTGATTTTGTTAAACAGAAGACACACAAACGACCCTCAGTGTGATATCCAATCACATATAAGATGCATTATAATACCACTGTGTTACATCTTCGGTCGACCACACAAACAACCCTCAGTGTGATACCCAAGAACATATAAGATGAATTGTGATACCAATGTGATACCATTGATTTAAATTCAACTAATCAAATTTGGCGATGATGAGGGTGGTTTCCGATTGGGTTTGAATCGGATCGGGTGGGAAGATAGAGAGATAAAGGAATTTGGGGGTTTGAGAGAGAGAAGACTTAAATGCAAAATTGAAATTCTAAACTAATTAAAGTAACTTGAAATTCTAAACTAATTAAAGTAACTTGAAGTCGTATTAATTTACTAAGAAATCATGTTTACTATTTTACCCTGATATTTATTTTAAGAAATCATGATATTAATTATCCTGAATGAATGAATGACTGGTCCACGTTGAATCTCATGGTTATCACAAACTAAATAGTTTTCATTTGATTATGCTCATATATATATATATATATATATATATATATTGGCTCATTCAAGGGATAACTGACTAGTTTGTGGTAACCGTGAGATCCAATCTCAACCACAAATCAATAGATAAATTAGAAAATTTATAATTTTTGTAATTTTGAATTAATATTTTAATGTAAGGACATTTTTGGTATTTTCTCTCATCTCTCCTATCTTCTCTCTCCATCCCCCCGGCCTTCGTCCTCCGGTGATACCTAAAAATATTGACTCTGTTAAACAAAAGACACCGTGTGATACTCAAGCACATATAAGATGCATTATGATATCACTGTGTTACATCTCCGATCGACCACACAAACGACCTCAGTGTGATACCCAAGCACATATAAGATACATTGTGGTATCACCGGAGGACGAAGGACGGGGGACGGAGAGAGAAGAGAGGAGATATGAAAAAAAAAAACCTAAAATGTCCTTGTATTAAAATTTTAATTCAGAATTATAAAAAATTATAAATTTCCTAATTTATCTATTGATTTGTGGTTGAGATTAAACCTTACGGTTACCACAAACTAATTAATTCTCATTTGATTAGGTCTATATATATATATATATATATCTATATATATATATATATAGATATATATATATATCTATATATATATATATATAATCAAATAAGAAAGACAAAAAGTTATAAATTCGTGATAACCCCTATAAGAATATTTTTACATGATTTTTTTCATCAAAAGTCAAGATTTAAGATATTTTTTCCTCATATGTTTGTGTTCGTTTTATAAAAAAAATTACATGTGAAACTTATTGTGTTCACATAATGAAATGAAAAATATACGTAACTTTTTTTTTCAAATGATGAAACAAATACATATGAAACAATCACATTGTGAAACAAATATATGTGAAATAATATCTTAAATCTTTACATTCAATGATAAAAAATCATGTAAAAGATATTTTTAAATTTAATTCCACAAGGTCTATTTCTTTATGCTTCTCATTGAATGTAGCCTTTGTATATACCAAACAAATATGGTTTATGTGGAAGGCATGAGATTTGAAGTATGAAATCACAAGTGGTTGATTTGGTAATGAAAAGTGAAGTGGAATGAATTGTAGGAGTTAGGTTTGATAAGGTGTAAACAACTATACTCATGCTACATAAAGTGGCCTTCCACTTTACAATATCATATATCAAATTTTAATCACATCCCTTTTTATTTTAATTATAATTTATTGATTATTAAATAAAAATCATATTTCCCCTCTAAAAGAATGCCAAGTTGCCTAATTACAAATTAACAAAATGATGCTTTGGTATTAGAATCAATGAGCAACAAACTTTTTTTTTTGGGGGAAGATTAGAAAAGCAAAGACAATTCGTTATCTCTAGTTTGTCTATATTTTACTGATTTACTACTCTAAGATTAAATTTTAGATATCCTGATGTCACACCACAAGGGCGAGACATTTACTGAATACCAGGATATATTGAATAATGGCATTCACAAGTTACAACTATATATAGTGGAAGAGTTAACAACTGAATGAAACTGAATTATCTGACATGATGTACTTCTAGAAATACCATTTTTGAAAGCTAAGAGTTAACCCCCCCACCCCCACACCCACACCACTGTCGTCGCCTTCACAACCACCGCTCACCCGCACCCCACCCTACCCTAACCTAACCCACCACTTAACACCATGCCACTATTGCTGTCATCATACCCACCCACTCACAGGACACAACCACCTGACTATTATCCCACCACTATCATCATCACAACTACCATCCTGCCACCTACCCCGCCCCACCTTACACTACTCCAACCTACCACTAACCACCATCTTACCATTGTAGTCGTCACAGTTACCACCCTGCCACCCACTGCCCCACTCTAGCCCCAGCCCCATCGTCTCGCCCCACCCTGCCTGCCCTTCCCAACAACCCCACCTAT